TGTTGTCCTTTGCTCACAGCTTTCAGAATCCTAAGCAGAAAAACCCAAACAAGTACAGAGACTGAGGGCAAGCTTGGAAACAGGAGCATCAAAGTGTCTACACGGGTGGTATCACACACTGTTGGACTATTTATCTGCTAGGTATGCTTAGCTTGTTTTGACAACAGTCCCGAAGACAAAGTTCCTAAACCCCTCCTCATCACTGGAAGGTTTTAATTCCAACAATCAGTTATGCCATGTACTTGGTGGAGAGGCCTCCTTTTATTTGAGTAACATCAGATTCACTTAGGTTTATAAAACTGAATTATAGAATTTTAGAACTCAAAATGGCTTAAAAAGATTTTATTTATTTTTTTGAAAGAGAGAGAGCGAGCACAGAGGAGGGGCAAAGGGAGAGGAAGAAGCAGGCTCCCCACTGAGCTGGGAGCCTGATGGGGGCTCTATCCCAGGACCCTAAGATCATGACCCTAGCCAGTCAGATGCTTAACCCACCGAGCCACCCAGGTGCCCATGAAAAGGGATTTGAAGAGAGCTCATCTAGCCTGATTCTTTGGAATATAGAGAGACTAAGGCCCAGAGAAATATAGTGTGACTTGCCCAAGGTCATCTAGCCAAGCATGGCTTGGCTGAGATTGCCGGTTGTCTTGGAATATCTTTTCTCCCTTTCTTCAGCTGTGCACATGATTGTCTGAAAAAAAGGGCTATATTTCCTAATGAAATGTGGTTGTAAAACTAGGCTATACTAAGTTACATTCTATATAAATGTCAGTGGAAATGGTGTGAGGAACTCCAGGGCAGTGTACTTAAAGATTAGGGGTTGGGATGGGGCATGACCTTCTTTCTTCCTGCTGGCTGGATTGCAGGTTAGATGGCTAGAGTGTAAGCAGCTCTTCTAGACCACGAGGTAGAAGCTCATTGGGAGAATAAGGGCACAATAAGATAGAATTCTGGGCCACCAACCTCAAAAAGTCAATCAGAAACAGAAGACACGTATACAAGCTAATGCAGAATAAACACTACCACAAAGCCAAATCAACCGCCCTGTCCTGTTTCTATGCCTTCAAACTTTAGGGTATGCTTTATAGAACTGCCATACCAGCTCTGGAATGTTCATCTCCAGGCTTTATGTGGAAGAGAAACTCTTTCTTCAGTCACTGTTATTTCAGTCTCCTATCATTTACAACTGAACTAAACTTTTTTTTTTTAAGATTTTATTTTTATTTATTTGTGAGAGACACACACAGAGAGAGGCAGAGACACAGGCAGAGGGAGAAACAGGCTTCATGCAGGGAGCCCAACGTGGGACTTGATCCCGGGACTCCAGGATCACACCCTGGGCGGAAAGCAGGCATCCAACCACTGAGCCACCAAGGTGTCCCTATCTGAACTAGACTCTGACTCAGAACATAAACAATTACATTCTGGGTTGGAAACTCAGTTCTCCTGAATCCAAGGAAGGACTATTTATTATGAAGATCATTATTATTAATAATAAAAGCAACACTGTGTTGAGTTGTGCATATAATTGTTGCTGGTAATTTTTTACGTGCCTTCTATGAGCTGTTTATACCTTGTAAGTGTCATGTACTCATTGGATTCTCAGGTCAACTCGGTAAGTTCTTTTTTTTTTTTAAGATTTATTTATTTATTTATTCATGATAGACACACACACACACACACACACACACACACATATATAGGGGGGGGCAGAGACACAGGAGGAGGGACCCTCTTCAGGATCGTGCCCTGGGCCAAAGGCAGGTGCTAAACTGCTGAGCCACCCAGGGATCCCCCAACTTGGTAAGTTCTATGACCTTGATTTCTGTTTTACAGACAGAGAAACTGAAGCACAGAGAGAGTGACTAACTTACCCAAGGGCATACATTTAGTAAGAGGTAGAGCTGAGATTCAAACCCAGGCAGTATGGCTCCAGATCCTGGGGTCTTAGCTCCGACATCATACTCTTATGATGTGAGCTCCTCTTCAACCTCTATAGCAATTTTATTGAGGAGGAAAATGAAGCAGGCAATTTTCGAATCATTGCTTTAAATTGCTCTGCTAGACAGTGGTGCAGCTAGCATTAGAAGCCAGGCTCCTAAATCCTAGTTCAATGCTCTCTCCAGACCACCCTGCAGTCTTAGAGGCCACCTGGACAGACACATAACCCCTGAGCCCGCTTCCCGTCTCCCCCTCCAACACACACACATACACACACCACCCAGCAGGCACCCAGACATTTTTGTGGCCAGGGTGGCTACAACCTCCTTTGAAAAGCAGCCAGCTTTGCCCTCCACCAAATAACTTTGTTTTATTTATAGTCTTCTGCTCAGAGCTTTTGAACTGGCTGCTCATTCCAAGGAAGATCTTGATAACAACTGTTCTTTGGAGAGGGTTCATAGGAAACAAGGTGCATAAACACCACAGAGGCCCCGCCTGTCTAGCAGAGCTTTGCTCCTGGGGATGTTTATAAACCAGTGTTGGTGTCTGGGTGCAAAAGACTTTGAATTCAAAATGGTGGTTTGGATTTTCATTTGTGTGTGTGTGTGTGTGTGTGTGTGTGTGTGTGTGTTCTTTGTCTTCAACAATCTCAGGGCATGAGGCAAAAGAGAGACATTGCCTTTATGCATACTATAACTCTGAAAGAAGCAGTTCTTGCTTTCTTTGCTCCCTGCTTGGCTGGGACCTAGGGCCAGTTACTGGAGCCATTAAAGGGCGGGGAGACACCTCAGGAATCTAGAAGAGCTAAACCGGCGGAAGGAACGAATGGCATTTTAGAATAGAAAACTGTAGAAGGAAAAGAGGAGGAAGGGGAGTAAACGATCAATTTCAAAAGTGAACCATGAACTCACGATCTTCTGCCTTACGTCTGAAGCTGCCATCCTAAAGTGCGACCATGCCACATGCGTTCGGGCTCATTCAGCCCGGACGCTAATCTTCGCTCCACCCGCTGCAAGTTCTGCGACCTGTCCTCTTTGTGAAGGGACGGGTGGGCTGGTAGACTCACAAGACTGTTGTGAAGACTGGTGCTGACTATTTAGGGCAAATGGCAGTGAACCAGCGGTGCCCGGTTCGGGGAGGCCGGCCCGTCGCCCAGGGAGCCGCTCTGGGGGCAGCCGTCCCGCCCCCTCGGCCTCCCTGCGGTTCCCCGGCGTAGAGCGGGTGGTCCTGGGACGCCCGGGAAGGTGAGCCCCGGGCAGAGCGGACGCAGGCGGCAGGTCGGTGCCCGGCTCAAGGGCGCTCGCTGCATTGGGTTACTCTCGTGTGTCAGGCACCGTTACGGCGACGTGATCCTCCTGGATCGAAGCCCCCCAAGTGGCTAAGACGGAGGCAGAGTCCTCGGGGGTAGGGCCAGGCGGGGCCGCTGACCGGCGGGGAGAAGCCCCCAGGGGCGGTCGCCTTGGAAACCAAGGGAAGGGCAAGGGGCTTCCCCCAGGACCAAGCCGGGCACGTGGGCAGCGTCACGGGGTCTGTGGCTCCCTTCAGGTACTTCCTGGAAAGTGTGGCACTTAAAAAAGGGGAAACTAGTGTCTTCCCGGAGATCCGAGCGCAGACCTCGTGCCAACGCCAAAGCCACTGGGCGGGAGCACCCCTGCCCTGACGGAGGAAGGGGTGCAGGTTTCTTCGGGTGAGCTCGAGGGTTCAGGGGGCCGTAGGTTAAGGTTCGGGCTACGGGAGCGCAGTGGGGGGGCCTCCGGGGGCCTCGGGACACGGCGAGCCCACCCCCAGGTCCGCGCGGCCGGCTCCCCCCCACCCGCGGGCGGCCCGGCCCGGCCGTGGGCGAGCGGACTACACTTCCCGGCAGCCCCCGCACGCCGCGGCGGCGGCGGCGGCGGCGGCGGCGGCGGCGGCGGCGGCGGCGCGGGCGGGAGGCGGGAGGCGGCGGCTGTGGGCGAGGCGAGGCGAGGCAGGCGGGCGGGCGGGGCGGGGCGCGCCGGGTACGCGCGCCGGCGACCATGGCGTTCGCCGGGCTGGAGCGAGCGCAGTAACCCCGGGAGGCGGCCGCGGCGGCGAGGGAGCGAGCTTCGAGCGGGCGGGCCCAGCCTGAGGGAAGGGAGGAAGGGGCGGGGAGAGCGCCGGAGGGAGGCCGGTCGGCTGCGGGCGGGCGGGCAGCGCAGCGCCGAGCGGGGCCCGCGGGCCCATGAGGAGGCCCGGGGACCATGGGCTCCAGGATCAAGTGAGTGCGGCCGGGCGGAGCAGGGCGGGCGCGGGGCGGGGAGGCCGGGAGGGGGCTGCAGGCCGCGGGCGGCGCGGGGGACTTGTTGCCGGGGCCTGAGGGGCTCCCCGCGTGACGCCGGCACGCGGGGAGGGGGAGGGTTGCCATGACGCTCCGGGGAGGCGCGGGGGCGGTCCGCGCGGGGGCAGGGGCTCGGGCGGTCGGGTGTCCCCTCCCCCCCCCCCGCCGAGAGTGGGAGCCACGGGGATTCCCGGGCACTAGAACCTCTGCACTGTGGGCGGGGGGAGGGCGAGACATCCCCGGAAGCAGCGCCCCAGATGGGTGTGTTTGGGGCGCCCCTGAGAGTTGGGCAGCTCCCAAGAGGTGTGCTTGCGGCCTGCGGTCCTGGGCCACTCGGAGTCCAGGTCTGGGTGGCCGGAGGACGAAGGCCATTTTCTCTTTCCTCCTTTCCCCCTCTTATCTGTGAAAGTCTCCACTCAGCAAGGGCCAGAGGCTATGAAGGAAGATGCCTCGGTGTCGTAATTGAGCACCTGATCTTGATGGCGGTGGTTGGGAGGGCTTTGTAACCCAATCCGGCAGACTCCCTCATTCATTCACCTGGGCTCCTCGGGGACGGTTGGTTTTCTGGGGGATGTTGTTGATACATCAAACCCGGAACCCACCGAAACATTGTTGCCTTCCTTCTGGACCCAGAAGTTGACTCTGGAAAGTGCAACTTTTACGCATTCCAGTCTGGGTGTGTTGCCTTAGAGTCTATCTCCCCTCCCAGCCAGGTCCTTTTTGCGGCCTCTCCCTTCCTCAGCCCCCGAACAGGAGATGCCTTATCTCTAATCACTAACAAATGTTCACTTTTCTCTATGAGTAATACAATTGTTTAAGGGCACTTAAAATTGACAGCATAGGCTTTTCCCCGATCGGCTTTCATAGGACACTTTAAACCTGCTTACAAGAAAGTCTGTGGAATGTGTCTATTTCAGCACTTCGAGAATAATGCTGGGGAAGTTTGAAAGGGCCTTGAGGACGAACTCTAATAATCATTCAGATGTCTCTCATGTTCTGTCGGTGTCCATGCAGCATGACCCTTGCCCATCCTTGCAGCCCCTCGAGTGGCTTAGGCTTCCCGTTCACTAAATGTATGTGCTGCAGCAGCCTTGAGACACCTGCTAAATGAAGCTAGAAAAGTGTGCTTACGGTGACGAAAACGGAAGAGTTGGATGAGCACGCTGTTCAGTCTTGATTCTGTGGAAGCAACGGGAGAAAGTTAGAAGTGTGCTCCAAACAACAGTGACGGGACTTGGGAGGAGGTAAAAAGACGAGGTCTTTGTAAGAGCATTGGGATTAAGGAGGTACTCCAGGTTTACCTCCTACTTCCAAGAAAGAGTTGTGACTTGAATTTCAATAGCACTTAGAAACACTTTCCAAAAGCCACCTTGTAGTCACAGAGTATGCTTGTGAGGATGCTTACCTTTGTTACAGAGAAGTTTAGACACCTGTCTGATGTGAGACTGTCAGTGTCAGAACCGGCATGAAAATCCAACCAGTGGAAGGTCAGATAACTTGACACCAGGTCTCTGTCTTGTTCTTGAAAGTTGCAGGTTAACGTATATTTTTCAGGTGTGTTTTGTGGAACCCATTACTGTTACATCTGAGCACTTGGGCGAGGGAGCTTGCAGAGGTGTGAAATTAGTGTAAAGAATAGCCTTTTTGATCTTGAGACTAGACTGCTCTAGGATAAAAGCTTAGGCTTGGGAAATCGCTTTACTTGTGGTGAGACTCAAAGAGTATGAAGAGAAGTTATGAAAAATAATTGTGATTTTTGGTGACTCTTGACTAAGCAACTTCTGTCTGCAGCTAGGAATGGGGATTGGACAGGTGGCTAGGGACCATCTACATGGATGCTGCCCTCGTCTCTGGAGGAAACCGAGCTTTGGTCACTAACTGTTCTACCCTGACAGGAGAGAACGGAATTGGCTCAAGGTGTCGAGCTGCCTGACTTGGAATCCAAGTGTGCAGGCTCTGTTGTGTAGGGACAGTCTTGTGTGTGTGTGTGTGTGTGTGTGTTGGCATGGGGGTGGAACAGAGAGCACTCTGGGGCCCCTCAACAGGAGAGCACTCTGGCAGCCCGTGTTTCCTCTTATCTCTGATACTATGTGGCCTAGTCAGGCTGATGATGTGGAATCAGATCTGGTGCAAATTCCAGCTCTTTTGTCTGTTGACTGTGGAACTTCTCACAGACTACTTCTTTCACTCTCAGTTTCCCTGAGGCTATAATGGGGAAGACTATATGCTGCAGAGTCATAATGACCAATAAATGCTATATCAATATGATTGCTGGGCTTTTATTAAAAATTCAGTAATTGTTAATTCTCTTTTACCTTCTCTATCAAAAAAACTAAGAAAACCCATACTTTTTTAATGCAAGAAATGTCAGAGAATGGAATGTTTCAAGAAATGAAAAAAAATTTTGATCAAGGCATTAGACTGTTAATATGAAGAGCAGGGCTTAACATTCTCTCATTATTAAAAAATAAAAGTTGATTAAAACAATACTGTGTGTAATTGTGCAGCTGGTGTCTGTTGTATGATTAGTAAAGCAGGTGCGTTGCTAGGCAGAGGTGTTGATCACCTTTTAGTGCTTGTTCAGACTTCAAGCTAAGACTGGTTGAGCACAATCCCTGTGTCAGGCATGATGGTATTGCATTATGTGAACCATTTCATCAAATCCCCACAACTGTCCAATGATGTAGGTACTACTAACCACATTTTTCATATGAGAGAATGGGAGTTTATTTGCTATGATTAGATGCTATCCCCAGGAAGCCTGCCATGATGCCGGTTCTGCACCCCCAGCTGCCTCTGCAGCCTAGGTCAGCGGCCCTCATCTGTGCAAGCACCCCCTAGCCTAGGCCAGGTGCCCCTCGTTTGTGCATCTTCTCTTCAGCCTAGGCCAGGTACCCCTCATCTGTGCATCCTCTCTTCAGCCTAGGTAGGACATGACATGTGCCCCTCGCATGTTTCTGTCGCCCCTTGTGTTTATCACTGTCTGAGTAACTAAATGCAACTCCTTGACTGTCTTCCATGTTAAGACGGACATAAACTTCTTGAGAGCAGGACTGGCTTATTCGTCCTTGAGTTCCCTGTGTCAGACCTGGTACCCGATACACAGAGAGTTGTTCAGAAAGAGTTTATGGAATGGTTTAAGAAGTATGGTAGGATCTGAATTAAGGTCCTGACTAAGGTTCTGAGTTGAGTGTACATAGCATTAAAAGAACAACTTGTTATTCTGAACTCTTGAGGACCAAGAGTTTTTATGTTTTTAAGTTAATTGTCCTAGTCTATGTAGAAAATTACTTTTTTTCTAAAAAGTGTTTAGTTCCTGTTCATTTAAATAACATGGTCTAGCTTCAAACCAAGCGTCTATCTACTTGGCCGGGGAAAGAGAAGGTAAGGTCACTGTTGTGCAGGTAGCACCCTGGAAAGCTCCTGAACTTTAAACCCTAGCAGACCTTAATCTAGAGGGGTAAAAGGAGCAGCTCTAACTGGCAATCTTCAACAGGTATGTTTAAATCTTATTTAGTGTTTGAGTGATCCCAGTGGACTAGAATGTGGTTAATATGAAGCAGTTTAACTGATAATGCAGACATACAGAAGGAAACTGTGTGGCAGTTTAATATTGCTTGTGGTGACATCCTAGAAATTGTTTCCAGGCACCAAGGGCAGGAAGTGCATTGTAAGTAATCGAAGGAAGTATTCTAAGTGAGTTTGAGGAAACCTGACATTTATGGATGCAGAGAAAGGCGCATACTCTTTAAGATTTGAAGGCATAGGGACAAGACAGGGCAGCTCATTTGGCCTTGTGGTGGTATGTATTCTACATTAGCCCAGCATACCTGTCTTCTGTCCCTGTCAGACTGTGACCTCTTTGAGGTTGGTGACCAAAAAGCATATCTGTTTATTCACTCTCTTACTATAGAACTAAGAGTGTGAAGCACATATTGAGCACTCAAAAAATGTTAGTTTTTATTGGTATTGTCATGATTAGTTGTACCAGTTCACGTGCTTGGTAGTGGGCTAAGTGCTAAGGACATAAAAATGAAAAGGTTTTTCTTCACTTTAAGGTTTTCCAACGTAGTAGTGAGACAGAAATGTGAAACGAACTCTCTCCCAGGCCCCCTCCCTACCAAAAAAAACCCACCCCCCAGTTTGATACAGTCTGATCAATGCTACGGTGGAGATGCAGCTAGTCCTGAATAGGTAAAGAAGTGGAGAGACCATTTTCCAAGGACAGTTCAAGGAAGGAAGGCAGGCTTCATCAAGAAGGTGTTTTAGCTGAGACAGGAGAGATGAGTAAGGGTGTGAAAAGGGCAAGAGTGGTACCAGAGAGGAATGGTGATGATGGTGGCAGTAGTCTCATTAGAGGGAACAGCAGTAAGTGTGAAGATGTGGCATATTAGGGAAAAAAAAATGTTAAATAACATTTTTAGGCCCATGCCAGCAACTGTGTTAGACATTGAGAATTTTGATGCTGAATAATATATTCATTCCTACTCTCATGGAGCTTAGGGTTTGGTGGACCTAACAGGTTAAAAAAAAACGTCAGTTTCCTTAAAGCTATGTGGATGTGCTAGAAAGGAAATGAGATGCTGAGGGAGAATGCAGGGGTAGCTGTCCTGTTTTAGAGCACTGAGGAAAAGTTTACTGTAGAACTGACATTTGAGCTGAGACTTCAAGCATGAGAAATCATTAGTCCTATAAAAGGACTGGGCAAAACTTTTCATTTCAGGCAGAGTTGAGCATACACAAAGGCCTCAAGGCAAGAAAACCCTAAACGCATTTCAGGAATTGATAGAAGGCCAGGGGTTTGGGTAATGACTGATGGGACAGAGCCTTGAGGTAAGTCCAGAGAGATAGACTGGGGCCTGACTAAGGCCTTGTAGGCCATGGCAGTCAGAAAACAACTTAAGATGTAATTAGCACACTATAACATTTATTTTTTTTAAATATAGAGTTAAATGGTTTTAAGCATATTCACAAAACTGTGATCAATCATTACTATCCAATTTAAAAACATTTCATCGCCCCAGAAAGTAACTTTGTGCCCATTAGCATTCACTTCCCACTCCTCCCAAACACTCTCCGCTCTCAGCAGTCACTAATCTACTTATAGTTGTCATAGACTTATTTTGGGCATTTCATATAAATGAATCATACGATGTATAATCCTTTGTCTTTCCCTTAACATAGTCTCGAAGTTTATTCATGTTATAGCATATAAATATTTCATTACTTCTTAATTGCTGAATAATATTTCATTGTATAGAAAAACCACACTTTATTCATCTATTCATCAGTTGTTAGGTTTTTGGGTTGTTTCCACTTTTTCGCTGTTATGAATAATGTTGCTGTGAACATTTTGTGTGGACATATGTTTTCATTTCTCTTGGGTATATACCTAGGAGTGGAATTGCTGGATCATATGGTAATTCTGTTTAAGAAACCGTTAAACTGTTTTCCAAAGCAATTGCACCACTTTCTGTAAAGTGGTATCTCATTGTGGTTTTGATTTGGCCCAAGTGAATTCGTGTAGAAAACAAAAGATCAGAGTAGACAGAGATAGGTTCTCAGAAGAGGCTGAAACTTGAACTGAAAGAAAGGTGAGACTTAGTTAAGGGAGGGGACATTCCTAGAGGGAGAACAGTGGAAGTTTTAGGACTGGGGAGTGAGATAACCCCTTCTCATTGTTTTCTGGTACAGAGAAGCAGCTTTGGCTCCTTAGGATAGCTCTGCTTCAGTCTTGTTTTTGGACTGCTCATCATAGGGTCCTATTACCAAAATGCACCACAGACTTAGTTCTTTGGTGAAGCCTGTTGTGTAGCACAGCTGACATGTGTCTCTACTGTGGAATGAGACCAGAGTCCTCCCTCCAGGGCTCTTCCAGCTATTGCCTCTTCTCCCCCCCCTCCCAACACAGTGCTCCCTTGCCTGTCCCCCTGGAAGATAGTACAAAGACTTGGGGTGGTAGAATGAGAGTCTTGCTGGAGGCTGAGCTCCCCATTATTAATGCACAAAGTCACTTGAATTTTCATGACTTTCTTGGATAATGTATTTGTGCAACTCTATCATTCTAATCATAATCATTTCAATCAACTTGGAGGGCTTTGGACAGTAGCTAGGAAGGTTGAAACAGGGAAGGTACAACCTGGAGTGTTGCTGTGGAAAAATGTCTCAGGCTGTTACATCTGTGTATAAGCTCCTAGCTGGGATTCTCATTGTGGCTTGCAAAGGTTCAGCCTTTTTCCTGGCC